CATCGGGGTTATGATGGCAACTAGTAGCAGCAAAGATAAATATAATAGTACTATATCCACCCTGAAGGTTAATCTTGGACAATATCTGATGATCGACTCTTTTAAATGAAACCAGAGAGCGTTGACAGAGAGGAGAAGGTAGAAATGACTCAGTCTGTAACTGAAAATATGGATGGAGGACAACAGAGCTGCTTCATGGAAGAAGAACCTCAGCTTAGCCTGTTAACCTTTGTGCTAGCCCTCACGCTATACTGCCTGATATGTATTAGCTCAGTGCTAGCGTGACAAACAAGCTAAATTGAGGTCACTAATCTAATCGGGGATCCCTTTAACAGTGAGTCGTCCGATACCATTTTGGGAGCTAATGCTCAAGTTTTCTATTGTCAGCCAAAAGGCTAATTTGAGGTTAGTCAAAAGTTTGGGTAGCATTAGCATAAAAGCTACTGCTTAAGCATTTTCATGATTTTGGTACATTACTGAAATGTGCAAAAATATGTTCAATAAGACTCCAGCTTTAATTAGCCATGATTAGCATTAGCAGGTTAAAAAAATATTATTTCCTTGAAATAAAGACATTTTTATTTTAGCTAACAATATTTATGACTGTCACCACTTAATTTCATAATTCAAATTACTATTATTTATATAGTATATTTAAATGTATATTCAATATTCTGAGATTCATTAGTTTTGATTAGCATCATCAACAGGGATTAAAATGTTTTCTAGTTGGAGCTAGCTACAATATTATGTTAGTTTACAGTATTGTTTACAAAATGATTAAAACTGCTGCTCAAGTCATTTTATAATTCAAACAAATACTAATAATAAGGTGTATTTATGTTCAAATTTAAGATTTGAATTTACTTTAGGTTAGCATGAGCAAACAATATAATGCCAACTGAGGCCAAATAAAACACTTAGCCTACATTAAAGTATTGTTACATTAAAGTATCATTAGCATTGTCTTAAAAAGGTGTTAAGTCATTGCAGGATAAAAAAAATTTATATTAGTGTTTTTAAACGTATTTTCAACGAGTTTTCTACCGTAAATAGCGTTACCCTAAATGCTGCTGTTCAGTCATATCTTAAAAAAAAGAGATATTATGCAAATACTGTTACTGTTTTTAAACATATTTTCAAAGACTCTCTAATTTCAATTAGCTTTGGTTAGCATTAGCAAGAGTTCAAATGTCATCTGGTTGATTTTATGTTAGAGTAAGTTTGGAATTACCCTAAACATCACTGTTCAGTCAGTCTTTTACTGTTACTGCCTTGATGTGTTGAAAATTATACTGAATAGGTTTAGCTATAAATTTAGCATTGGTTGGCAGTATTTAGCAATGAAATGCTTTCTAAATGAGGTTGCAGCTTGTGGTAAACTGCTGGATAAGCGGTAGATTTGGCTGACATTTTACAATAAATCAACAATTTGTTATTTTTAAAAGAATTGAAAAACAAAAGTTTATGGAACGTCCAAGTATGCAGAGCTTACAGTGCTTTGTTTCTACTAAACATTTTCATCGTCTACAACTTATAGTGGATTTTTGGCTGGGTCAAAGTCTGATCTCTGTTGGAGGTCATCTTTCTGCCAACCGGAGAGATAAGAAGAAATCCCAGAGCCAGAGAGCACAACAAAGACCTGGTGACCGTTGTCTAATTTGCTGCTGTCATTGTTCTCCCACAGGATCTCTAAATCTGGAAGGGCGACACACACCCTGTCACACACACACGCATCTGTCCTTTTCCACCCCCACACACTCCAGCTCTGTTTGCTTTCTCGCAGCAAATTAACCTTCTTGGGCACAAATACAAAAGAGAAGAAGGTAAAACATGGTCAAACATCCACTGTGGTCTTAATGACAATCCAAATGATTCTCTTCAGGAATAGCCTTTAAATTATTTACGACGCTTAAGGAACCACAATTTACACCATCCCAGTAAATGATCTCATGCAGAGGCCTGAAATAAACCAAGTGCAACGTCTGAAGGTATAACAACAGGTTTACATGCCTGCTGTTTTAATACATAGCTAACATAGCTGAGCTGATGGGTGGCGAGTGCAAAGGAAGGCATTAAACCTTCAGGGGGTTGGGGATGGGGTTGGGGATGGGAGTGGGGGGTGGGGGCACCTGTAAAAACAACCAACAACAAACATTTCCTAAAACCATGAACWCAAACACGTAGAGCCTCAAAACCAAACAGAACCAAGAACAAGAATCATTTTAAACTAAAATAACCCCTACCAATGCTCGCTGTAGTTGCTGTGGTTACAACATCAGCAGCTGTAAACATGCTGCTGTGTAATCTGTAAATTCTGGAAAAATCAGCAAAATATGATGTGTTGTTTTAGAGACTTCAAGGAGTGTTACAGCATCTCAATAAGCTTTGACATTCATCCAGAACCCAGGGGTTTGAGATTATACCCACATAGACAGTTGTGGGCCAGGTCTAGTATTAAGCAAGTCGTTCGTCAACCTGATGTGGGCCAGGTCTGGGACTGTTTTTAAAAATGGCATACCACAACTGGCCCAGTTACGGTTTGGTTTTTGTAGTCRGCACCACATAAACCACAACTGACTATGTTGTGGTTTATGTGGTGCTGGCCCATGCATCATATCCATGTCTTTTGATCTTTTATTTTATGAATATGTTCTACAATGCTCATTATTTCTTCCTTATCAGTTTCACCAAGAAAAATGTATCATATAAATACATTTTTAGTTTTAAGCAGCCCCTCACTAACAATCCAAATTGGTTTTCTACTGGAAGTGTACCAAACCATGGCTTCAAAACTCATGGTATGGACCTAAATGGAATTTTTGTGCACCATTAGTCTCTGTATTTCAAGCTCAGTTTGTAGAAACGTACAGAGCCACAAATCTGTTTTGTTCCAGGAAACTTGAAAGGGCATTCTGTTCATCTTTCAATTTACTTCTCAAATCATCTACTTTGAGGAACAGAAAACCCCAATAACTGGTGAGGACCTGACACCAGATCCTACAGTCAAGGTGTAACACCACACAGAAAACCTTTCCATGACATTCCCAGTCAGGTTGTTTTCCAATCATTACCAGTAACTCTTCCCTGTCCCGTCAGTGGATATCACTGTTCTACTACCGGTTGGCAAATTCCAACAGTATTCAGTTTCCGCACATTTTTGGAAACAAGGTGGTGATCTACGCGGCTTTTCTTTCACATGGATGAGGATCTGAGGGGTCTGACGGATACAATAGGGGCCTTTGTCGAGGAGGAAGTAGGAACCTTTAGTCCGAGGAATGCCAAACATGCGGCTCAAATTCGCTGAGCTCAGAAATGTGAGTTGAGGCAACAATGGATGCAGAGAGGACTGAAGGTGGCTTGAGAGTTTGAGCTCCCAAGGAGGTTAGAAAAAATTTCCGTAACTAAGCTGTCGAGCTTTGCACGGCTGGCAGCAAACGCTAGACTCTTAAAAAGAAAAGCATCGTTTGGATTTGCTTTAAAAAAAGTCTTTTGTTAGTAGACATTTTTAAGTAGGTCGAGATTTAACACACACCGACAGCAGAAGTTTAGAAGACAAAAAGAACCGTTATTCACTAAATTTTACTGTCATATATATCCTTTGAGGGGAAAACAAACCAGGCCCGAGGTTTTCATGTTCCTTTGATAACTTTTTAAATGTGTATTTGTTGTAATTTTGAAAAATCGCCTTGAATAATTGGAACAAAGGCCTTGGGCAGACTTCCAGAGTACTGAAAACACTGAGCTGTTTCTCACAGTTCACTTCAGTGTAAGCGTATTATGAATAGTTTTAAAACGTAGAACAAAGAGCTAAAGCTGTTTATAATAAACCTCCCAGAGCAGATCTGAGCTCAAACCCATTGCTGGTTGACAGGATATATTTTTAAAAAGCAGCTTTTAGATATTTTGATTAATGACCATACGTGACAAACCCTAATCTCATGTTCCCCTAAACTCTCGTGATTATAAAAAGTGTTTTGTAGCACACAGTTTCGGTTTCATGGCCTGCAGCTACAACATTATACTGGGTTTCGCTTCACTCGTTGTGAGTTTTAACAAATAAAAGTTTTCCAAGTAAATGCTATGATGAGTACAACAAACATGGAATATCTTTTTTTGGGGCAGGAGAGTTCCAAATCTTTCTGTTACCTACCGAACGGGGTAGAATCAAGTTCTTTTACGGTAAAGTTCTGGAAACTTTCCATGGACAATTAAACTAAGAATCTTTGGCAATGCTCTAAATGAAATTCATTAAATTGGAATTTATGAGATGGCAAAATAGCAAGTGTTTATAAATAAGAGTATTTTCTCTGTTAAAAGGACCTCTGAATAGTTCTAATATTAGACATTATTTACTTCAACTGTTAGCTACTAAATAAAGCGTTAGCTCCAGTTAACGTATATGGCTCCAGAGCTACGGTAATTTGCTACACTTCACAATTGGATGTTTCAATTTATATATTGTGCAGAACATCAAAACTAATACAAAATATAACTTTGTCACACATTGTTTTTAGTCTTGACTCTGTTTTAGTCTCAACTGTAACCCATCATCACCCCCAAAACGCACTGCATCATGTTACAAAATGGCAACGTGCTTAACTGTAAAATGTAATAAATGCATAAAATGTTTTAAGTAGTCAGGAGTTTTCACGTCGCAAAACAAATTTTAGTAGAACAGAGAAATAACTGAGTCAGAGATACCTTTAAAACTCCAATTTAGGGTTTTTATTGTAGTTAATATGAACACTGTTTTATGTCAGTTTTTTTGCATGACAAGAACATTTTTGTTGCGAACCTCAAGTTGCTGTCCCGCTTTAATAGTTCCAGCTTCTCAAGACTTTCCAAAAAAGACACGCTTGATAATTTTTCTTGACATTTGGAATCCTGAACCGTCAGTAACGGCAGCTAATTGTAGCCTGTGTGACAGCTTCTGCCTGAATGTGCTGTGATATGATCTTGGCTCATTTTTTGTAACTCATTAAGTCAGAACAGGCCTCAGGGGCCCCGTGTTCTTGTGCTCCGACCAACACCTTCTGCTGCTCGTTCAGAGGCAACAAAAAGCTCTTCCTCTGACAGAAACCAGGAGCTTCAGTGCGGGAGAGAGGGGAGAGAGAGAGAGAGAGAGAGAGAGAGAGACCTGGCTAGCTCAGACCGGCTGGGTGGGACGAAATGGGAACGCTGCACAACTAGCAGGCGTTTACCTTAATGGCCCAAATTACACCAAACCACTCATCAACGTAGAACAAAGACCACCTCCGCACACGTAGGTGTGTTTATCTTCACGTCTGCACGGTGGTCTTTGTCCAAGAGAGCGTCTGGGTCGCACCCCCCCTTCGTCCTCACAAGAACACCTCAGCAGATAAGGGGGATCGATTTGGTTTGGCTAGGGGGCGATGGAAGGGGTGGGGGTGGGCTTACAAAGGGACCAGTGAAGCTGAAAGCTGCATCAATCGGTCACTGGGTGTGTGAGTGTGTTAGGACTGACAGTGGGGAGTAAGGTGGGGGGATCTAGCTCCATCTAAATCCTACGGATCTAATAGGAAACACCTCCCCACCACCACCCAAACACCTCCCACTATGGATGGTTCGCATCCATTTACCTTTTCACTTAGGTAAATCTGCACTTTTGTTTTCTGCCATTGCAAGAGGAAAACCTCCTCAGCACAGATCAGAATCTGGGACTCTGTAACCYGACTCCCTCCCCCCAAGAAAAACGTTTCAGGCTGCTCCGAACATTTGAGAAAGTTATTCAGACATCGCTCAGGAATTCCAGGCTGGAGACCCGCAACAGCTGGCGCCCGGCTCGTCCCCGCCCATCACACACACACACACACAAAGTGTATTTGTACAACAAAATAAAAGTTGTGCAACATTTCTGGGTTTGGAAAAAAAAAAAAAAGAAGTAGAAAGAATGTCAGAATGTGTTGTCCAGATGTGCAAGTAAGTCTGTCACTATTTGTTGGATCTGCTCAGAATTTTACACGTTTCTGTGAAATTAATAAAACACGCCTCAGTGCATTTTTAGGTCCTGATCCAAGAGGAACCAGTCTCCAGAGCACCAGACTGGATTAACACACCTTTAACTGATCAAAATTGGGTCAAAACGATTGTAAGAATCAACCGGTGAACCCATTGAACTGGACCGTTTGGACGTCAAAATGTTAATGTTTGACTTTAAGTTGCATGTTGGGACATGTCCTCACAGACAGAGACAGGGGGAGACATAGTGGGCATGTGAAGTGGGTTGAAGGGGGGGGGTTTACCTGAGGTGTCCCACAGGCTGAGCTCGATCCTCTGGGTGTCGATTTCAAAACTGGCCGTGTAGTTTTCAAACACCGTGGGGACATAGCTCTGAAAGACACGGACAAGACTTTAAAAAGACAAAGACTCTTCTAGATTCATTTACGCCACTAAGACAGACCTGGAGCAGCTAAAACTACCATTAAGATGCATGAACACAACATAATGTCTTTCTGCYTCCACATTTCTGTCCCCTAACGAAGACAAATGGACAGTTTTGTGTCTTCAGGACCATTTCCATCAGTGTGTGTGCCTCACCTCTGGGAAACAGTCCTTGGCGAACACGTGAAGCAGAGCGGTCTTCCCACACTGGCTGTCCCCCACCACCACGATCTTACACTTCACGCTCTGGCTCGGATCCATGCCGGACTTCAGGGASGACACCGGGCCGCACCGTCTGTCCTTCATTGAGGGAACCGTACAGATCCTGGACGTGTTGGTAAGCGTCGAAAAACAGTGTGTCCCCTCCTGTCTCTGCGTGTCGGTCCTCCGGTGTCTCCTCCTCCGCCTGCTGCTGCTGCTGTGTGTGCCGGTTAAAAAAAAAAAGCAATTTCCCTGTATTTATACGGTCGCAGGAGCCAATGGCAGCGGCTCGAAGCACGAACGTCCCGCCCCTTTCTCCTCCTCTTCACCGCAGCCCGCCGGGGTTTTCCGCCGTGAGGACGCCCCGTTTGGACCACAAGTTTTCTGGTAAAAACAAACTGTCAAACCGGACTAAATAAATGAGAACTGAGCTTATTTTGGCTTGTTTTTTGTCAGCAGGAAACATGAGGGGAAATGGCCACTGCAGACAAGTTTCAATCAAAAGCACATTTATTTATTTATTTATTTATTTATTTATTTATTTA